AAATATATAAAATAAACAATAAAGCACTTGAAAATTGCTTATGATTGATGTAATTTTAAAGATTTTTTTATTCACCTCGCGTTAAAAGAAAATCTCTGATATATAGAATATTAATATATTTTCTTTCGAAGGATTTGCATCAATTGAATCGAAATTTTTATATACAAACTTTTAGATTCATCTTCCAAAGATATGTCACTCTAATATTTTAACATCTTTTATGCACTATTTTATAAATTTATTTATAGTTTATTAGATTTTTTTTTTATCTCTTTCATATCATCTCATATCATCATTTATAAATAACCTATAATTTATATTTCAATCTAAACCACAGGGAGCAAGTACAGTTTTGCCACATAAAAATGTCATTAGACGGTTAATTTTCGTAAACGAATCACGTCCCGCGATATATGAGACTTCTCGGTGGAGTATCATGCGGAAACTTTGCTCAGATATTCTACGTCGAGCAAATTTCATAACCGTGTATCCGTTATACAGGAATGACCGTTTCACAGCACGCGACGAATGCATTAGAAAGCATACATGTTCTACAACTTTCACAAAGTTTAATTACTGGTTCTTCATGACGCCGGTAGCCATGCGAATGAAAGCCCAGAATTTTCCTCCTCCGATGTTTAACCACATCCAAAGAAAGACTCCGTTGATCATTCAACTATGTAAATATAAACTGTGAATTAAAATAATTTTTTATTCGCGGTTATATTGTTTCATAATTATTACTCGTTTCTTTAATAATCTTGAAGAATTATTAAATTGTTAAATTTTATTAAATAAATATTAATCGATTTCGCGCAAATGTGTAAAATCATTCAGAATTAATAAATGAATAAATATATTAAATAATATTTGTTGCATCTCAATTCGAAGCTTAAATTCAGATGAATATAATTTTGAATATAATTTAGCTGAATAATATATTATTAATTATATTTTATTAAAAATAAACAAACTTTGTGTTGTAATGAACTATGTCCTAGTGACGAATTTAATTGCTTTTCTCCCCATGTCAGGTTTAAACATGACGTATAAAAATTGCATTAATACGTGACAATTGCATAAATCCGGATTATGAAATTGACGCGTAAAAATTTCTGAAATAATATTTGTCGAACTTTTAAAAAAAATTACAATAAACGAAATAAAAAAAGGAACAATGTGACATTAGTGAAATGCATATTGTTAAATATAAATTGTAAAATAAATCAAAGACCTATCGAAATTTTTTTACTAATTTTAATCTTGCTTTCCTATGGACAAAAACGTTGAATTTCTTAAGCCAGACTTCATTTAATATTATCTCCAAATCTATAGACAAAAGATCTTATTTAAAAATTCGGTCAGCGCTCTATTAATTATTAATTTTGTTTTAATAATTAAAGGTTCTTAAGGAACAGGTACAGGTGACAATAAATGTCAAAAAAAGCAGCATGAGATTTATAACCGTGGCAGAAAATAAACGTGGCAAAGAAACGAAACGGAACGAAATCATTTACTCGAACTATTATGTCTACCAAGTGGTATATTTCCTTTTTCTCAAGAGGAAACTTTAACTCGGAGGAATGATGGATTTCGTTCCTTTTATATTAACTTAACACAACTTCTTCTCTATTCAGGAGACGTAATTATATTTTCTGTTTCCTCTCCCTCCCCCTGTACACGAACCATAAAAATCGTTCGAGGTTAAATCCACGCGAAAGTGGCTCGTGCGAAAGGTCGGAAGGTTAAGTGGCGGAACTCGGATCAGATCCACGATTTCTTCGACCTTTTTTCCTCCTTGTATTTCATTTCTGGTTACTTTCAATCTTTCGTCCTCCTTTGTACCCGTTGCTCAAATCCACGAGTGCTCGTCGGTTCAGAATATTACGGACGTTATTAAATAATTAATAAAAAAAAAAGAAGAAAAAGAAGAGAAAAGGAAGATCAGTAGGGAGCAGTAACGATTTCTCTGCTCCCTCTCTACCATTTTCTACGTTTCATTTCCACTCTGAATCTTACCTCGTTTTTTACCTTTTTTAGCTTCGTTTCCTTTTGCATCCAGACAAATTTTGTCCATTGCTTCGCTATTGTATCTCCTCGTGTACCGATTGTTCTGGGATTTCGAGGTTTCAGCAACGCTTTGTCGCTTTCTAAACGAAAATCGTGTTGCATCGAGAGTGAGCGATCGTATCTGAATACTCGAGACAGGAAATCCTCTTCGTGCAACGGAACATCGAATGTCGCAAGGATCGATTTGTCGTTGATTTGATCTTCGCGGTACAAACGTGTCCCGTTGCTGATTGGAGGAACAGAAGAATTTGATGCATCGATGTGATATGAGGATGAAAAATGTTTTGAGAGGAGAGAGATTTGTTGATAAACGTTCAAATTTAATCAATATGATATAATATACGTTACAATTATGTATAATTATATATTTATTAAATAGAAAGGCAAATAATTATGAAATTTGAGCATTTATGATTAGAAAATCATATATTTATATTTTTAATCTTTAATTGTTGTCATGAAATTAAAAATAAGTAGGTAAATATATAAATTATTCGATGAAATTTTGAGATCTTCTTCCGAGTTTTCTTTTTGAATTAAATTCTAACAAATAGAGGATGAAAGATATTATATCCAGGAAAAGTTTCTATCCATCTTATAAGAAAATTCATCTTATCTAACAATTCTAATTTTAATGAATATTTATGTGTACCTGAGTTAAAAAAAAACCTGAGTTATATAAAACTTCTTTAAGGAGATAAAATAAAAAATTTTAACATTTTCTTTTTTAAATATAATTTTGTTTGGGAATCTTTATTAATACAATATCAAATTCTAAACATTTTGTTCTTTCTCATACTATTACAAAATTAAAAAACAAAAATTTTAAATATTATTTTTTTCTTGATATTCTGATAGAAAGAAAGTGATTTAGTTATGTATTAAATTTTCTAAACTTTCATTAAAATTAGAATTTTTATATAAATTATTTTTTATATAAGTATGTAAGTTGAATTTCATTTATAAAATTTATCCTTTATAAGATTTAATAAAACATAATAGTATAAGTAGATCAGAATTGAGAATTAATGAATCGAAAAACGATTTATGCACGAAATTAATGCCTAAATTCTTGGCGTTTCATAGATCACAAATTGTGATATTTCTCCAAGTTTACGAAACTGTTCAATGAACAATCTCAAGCATCCCAAGAATTTTTCTGCACTCTATAGTATTCTTCATTGTATTGATTCGACGACAGTTGCGATTAAATAAATTTTCACTTTCAAAGTGTTTACATTTGCTTGAGATGTAAATTTAAAACATCATCGAATTATTTGAAAAAAAATAATTATTGAATGTAATAATTATTCGTCACAATCAAGCAATATAATACGCGATAATTCTCAACATTGTAACTTATTATATCTAGTTACTCATAAACTGACAAAAATTATTTAATAAATTTTACTTGTAGCACATATCCAATTCTCTCAAAATACAATTGTCGCTTCAAAGATGATATATCGCATTATAATCTTTTCTTTTCTTTTTTCATATTTGATACAATAATGGAAACGAATGACTTAAAAAAAAAAAATGATACAATTCTCGAAATGGTGCAAGTTTATTCGTTCAGATTGATCTACTTGATTACTTTTTTCAGACATCATATATCAAAAAACGGTATATTTTAATAACGTTTTAATAAAGCGTTCTCGTGATTTACGCTCCCAGCAAATAGTGTTGTTAGCAAACGACGGTGCGCCTGATAAATCAACGATCGTGGAATGATTCATGGAATGAGAGTGCAATTTACTTGAACGCTCTGCTCGCATTTTTCCCGCATTTTTACCTATACAACAAGCTTGACGCGTCCGTAAAAATCCTATTACAAAGACGCCATGCAAGACGGATGTCCGCGGCTTACCTGGGAAATCTTGGCGAAATTGTACTCCTCACAGGGATTAGAATCGCCGAGCCTCATTTTATTTTATTTTCCATTTCCACAACCTCGTGTCTCGTGAACGACGAAACGATCCTCTCTTTGTTACCGCGAGATATAATCGTATGAAGAGAGGGGTGCACAGGAGATTTATGGTAAGATCATTCAAATGAAACTAAGGAGAATATATTAGGTTTCTAGATTTCCTGCCGTTTAAAAAAATGAATATGTCATGGGATATGTAAGTATGTGAGTATTTTGTATGAATAATTTGTGTGAATGAAATATATATTGTTTGATCAATTAAACTATTTAGTGCGATAATTATTTATATATTATTTTTTTTGAAATTTTTTAATCATTTCTAATATTTAATTGAAATTAAAATAAATTCAAAATCAAAATTGGCTTAAAACAAGCTAGGAGAACAATTGTAGCGCAAAAAAGTAAAAATTTATAATGGTTTTAATTTAAAATTGATTTTAATTTAAAAGAAATATGGATAATTGAAAATTTTTAAACATACAGTAGCTACAAAAAGTGTTCATTTAGTATTGTATTTAAAAAAATTTAATTTTCTTATATTAGAATTTATATATACAAATTAATTAGGTCGAAGTATATTATATTTTATATTATTTAAACAAAAAACTAATATGAGAAAAATATAGAAAATGATAAAAAATCATTTAGCTGGAAAATAATAATATTTTCAAATATTTTCTATAGCTTTGTACATTTTGATACGTTTTAAATTAACAATAAAGTTACAATAAATCTATTTTTACATTTAAAAATATTTCAGTTTGAATGCAATATAATTTTACATTAATATAATTTGCATTAAAATTGAAGATCTGTCCACATTGTGTATTTATTGTTAAATGCCTAATTCTTAGCAGGTATGTTGAATTCTAAATCTGAATTTAAGATATAAGGTTGATGGGAATTTTACTCAAGTCGAATGAATACTTAATTTTCTGTAATAATTTATATTGAGAATCTGGACTATCTTACTCATTACATATTCATAATTTTGTTGCAGAGGAAATAATCGCTAATCTACCACCTCTTCGAATTCCTCGCTTGAGGCACCATCGAGTAACGGATTGGGATCCTTATTTCGAGAATGCTGAAGGTCAGGGTATTAATGGATCCCAGAATGTTGCGTTACATCTTGGTGCGACAGCTCTTCTCGATTGTCGCGTCGCCATGCTTTCTGGAAAGAAGGTATTTTTTTCATTTCTTTTCTTTTTTTTTTCGAATATTCTTTTATATAATATCCTGTGTCACAAAATATTTTTACAATTTCTTATAAGAATATTAAATGTTGATAATTTATATAGAAATTGCAATTTAATCAATGATTTATATTGCCGTTTTGTTTCACGATCTGTTTTTTATAAAATAAATGAATTGAAACGTTTCAATCACATCTATCCTTTTTCATAATATTATGATGTCTTGTTCAGCCTTTAATTAATTCCAATATTTTTCATTCAATAATTACGTAACAGGATGACAAAAATTCGCAATAAATTATTCCTTTTCAGTCGGTGAACGCGGATGAACTTAATTACAGAATCTAGTAAACTACGATATAACCGGATACGATTATTAGTGATCCATAATGCACAACGATCGCGGAAATTCTAACGCAGGATCATCGTGCAATTGTTGAATCTGTGTCACAATTATAGGTCATGTGGTTACGCCGCAACGCAGACTGGGCATCCCTTTTAACCCTGGGTAATACCACTCACATTTCCGATCCCAGGTACAGCGTTAGTTTCCAATATCCAAACAACTGGAGACTGGCGATCGCCGGGGTGCGCAGGGAGGATCGTGGCTTGTACGTCTGTCAAGTGAACACGCACCCTCCGAGGATGCTCGTCACCAACGTCACTGTTCTGGGTAATGATCTTTTATTAATCAAAAAAGTGTTAAACACATTCGAGATTTCATCAAAAATCGGAAAGGGTTTCTTTCTATTAAGCGGTAAGTACAAAGAAATTGTAAAATGATGAAAAATACAAGACAACGATATTGTATTAAACGTGTATATGTGTTTTTTTTCATTAATTTTATATATATATATATATATATATTTAAATATGTTAAGGATTACTCCTATGAATCTCAAGTCGTGAAACATTTATTAGGGAGTCATTGTTTTCGTTTTTAATTATTGATTTGTGGCACTTTTAAAATCAAAAACAATATCAGGATAAAAAATTGTGTTTTTAAATTTTTCTTAATTTATATAAATTAATTTTTGCACTTTGAATATGATTATTTTTCTCTAGAATTCTTGAGAGAATTCTTGATCGAGTATTTTTTTTTTTCTTTTTTCTTATTGGAAACTTAATTTTCTCGTAGAAAATTTTAACGAAAAAAATGTTATTTTCGAATTTTCTGCATGTGTAGAACAACACTTTGCCCATTCGTTTCATTCTTATTCAGTTAGCCAAATGTACATGTACTCGACGAACGCTTAAATTCGATTTTCTCGAAAATGGTGTTTCAAACAAAAAAAATTTTACTCTTTGTTTTTTTGTATCTCTGTACGTGTATATCGAATAATATCCTGTCCAGTTGAACTACATGTGCTGTCATGTACATGTATAGTTTTATAAAAATTGAAAAAGACATTTATACCATTTACAAAGAGATATTGTTTGTGTATTTTTTAAACAAATGGATTTTTTATAAATCAAATATGACTTATTATGTACAAGAAATTAAAATAATAAAAAATAGTATAACATTCGTTTCAAAAATTAAATTTTATAATAACGATTGTTAAAAACTTTCTGCAAATTCTAATTATGATTATTTTCAAAATTACATATTCGATATAATACAAAGAGAAAATTTTTAATGTAAATGAAAAGAATGAATGTAATGACAGCATCATTAGTAATACGATGCTAATTATCCAGATATCAAACGTCCAAGACGTTCAATTCCAAGCATTTCTCAACAACATTCGATCAAATTCATCAATCATAATTTATTCAATAGGATATTCAGATTTCTTGGCAACAATTGCTCAACAATTAAGAGATACATTAATTCGTAACGATCCGTGATGTGTTTCATTGAAAAATAATTAACCATCTTGCTTATAAAATTCAATCCATTTCATTCACCTTTCAATAATTGCAAATATTCTCTTTCTCTCTCATTATTAAATTTCAAACAATATTTACAAACTAACTTGAATCAAGAGAAGATATTAATGAGCAGAGAGGTTCGATTAAAGTTCTTTAATTAATGAAACCAATAGAACAAGAGAGGAAATCAATGTTTCCGACGGAAATGCGTGAAAGGTTTCGGTTCATTGTTTATATTATTGATCGGAATTGTGGTGTAATTATGCTGTCATGGAGTTCGCAGAAAGTAACCATGTTTAATAAATGAGTTGTTATTGAACTTGGTGCACTTTGGTGTGCTTGTCTCGGGAATAAATAGGAACCTAACAAGATTCGAGATGCAACTGGTTTGTTGATTAATTAGATTGATTTTTTAGGTATTTATTGATAATTCTGCTCTGACAAAAAACAAATAGATATTACGCGTCTAATATTTACATTTTGACGTTGACAATATAATTATATCATTATTAATATTATTAATTTTTAAAATTAAAAATTTTTAAATATCATATTTTTATCGTTATCTCATGTTCATATCGTTATATATTTATATTTATGTAACATCATATATTGTTTTTTTTATGTAAAGATTGAATTGTCAAATTGTATACCTTCTGTTTGAACGAAAGAAAGTTCATCTTTATATCTAATACACAGAGTAATTCTACGAGAAATACAAATATTCTTCGTAGTAGAGTAATCGTGTTCGTATATAACATTCGAAATTAATGCGTTGCTACGTTTAAAACGAATGCAAATTAATTTCGCTTGGATGCAGAGACTTATTCCAGTCAAAATACCTCAAATATGTCTTGATGAATTATTCGCTAAATTCCTTGCGTGAATTTTCTTATCGAAATTCTGATGTAAGATTAAAAGATTAAAAGGATTACTAAATTTCACACGCGTATTTATAAAAATAATGAAAAATATAATTTTAAATATAGTAATAAACAGCTTAACGTAGTAATTTTTTTCAAGAAATAATAAATTTATAAAGCACGCGATGAAATATATGGTATAACCATGATTTCGACTTATTTCTTATATAACTTATCGGTGATAAGTTGACATCGAAACAATGAAAGAAGTTCACAAATCTCGATTAAGTACTACTTTTTCAAGTTATTAACAACTTAACATCATGCCACAAAAATGCTTGTACGCAAACAACGTATCATGTATCAGATTGTGCCTGTTTAATCATATTATAAAGAACGTTCAACATATATATATATAGTTCTTTTTAAAATAACTTATTTGATATTATTTCGAACGATTATTTGCTTGTTAATAATTTGTATTTATCGTCATTTTTGTAAATGATTTTTTTGCATGATTTTTTGAATAATTATTTGACCAAGATTACATTATTAAAAGAAAAAAAATAAATTAGTGAATGTTAGTGATTTCTAATCGATGACCTTTTTTAATTTTACAACACTGTATATTATTATAAAAATTAAAATTTACGTTACCATATAACCAAAGAAACTTTGGAAAATAAATATAAAACAAAAATTATAAAGCTAAAAAAAATTCAACGAACGAAGAACGATATCAATGAAATTTAATCTTAAACAGTTCTAACAGTAATTATAAATTATAATTACTTATCTTTTCATTTTTGAATTATTTTTTAAATATAATGAATAATTTTTAAAATAAAATATATAAAATTTTTTCTTATAAAAAAAAAACTATTCTAGTTCTAATTTTTTATGCTCTTGATGGAATGTATATCTCGTTACAAAAAATTCCACGTTACATCATATGGAAAATATCATCATTTAACCAAATTAAACCAAATTTTCTATATCTATATCTTTCTATTATCTAATTATCTATTTTCTATATCTTCCTCATACCTTTCGGATAAATAACTTTTAAAAATTTAAAAATTTTTAATTACAAAAGTTCTCTCATATTATCTCCTAAATTTTCACACTCTCCAATTCAAGCCCATTATTTACGTTACCATCGAAGCTTAAAAAATTCACGAAATCAGATACGGAGGTAACGAATCACCACGTCGCGAGACGGAAAGCACGTGACGAAAAATCGTTAATTATGCACGTCACGCGTGAGGGGAATTTATCGCGTAGCTAATCAACTCACACGCGGAACCAATTTCAAACGACAGTTATATACCAAAAGTTTATAACGCGAAGGCGGATTTTCGTGAAGGCTGCCGCGCCTCGAGCATCTCCCGGAAGTGAAGAAGTGGGGCGCGCAGGTTGATTTTATAGAACGTCGGAACGTATTTATACAAGAATTTGCAATTCCCCGACTGTGAACTGGATTACGTACCTCCTTTATTCTCCTTTGTCTCGGCGGCATGATCGGGGACTCGGACGAAATCGGTGCTTTGAGACCCTCGTTTCACGTCTGATTGTTTCTCAAATTGAACGATGGATGGGCGCGCGATGGTAGCAATTGAGAAACGCTGTTCTCTCCCGTCTACAAATTACATTTTTATAATGGCATTCTTTATCGTCCTCGTTCGAGGCGCGTGGTGCTTATAATTTCATATTAGAGGGAAAATCGTGGGAGCGTTTTAAATCTCAAAAGCGACTCGTTGTTCCATATTTTCAGGGAAGATATTTTAGACTTCCGTTGGATTTTTATTTTAGAGATTCATTTTTTTCTCTTTTTTATTAGATTTTGGCTCGAATATATCTTTCTAAAGTGTTGCGAGATATTTTCTCGGAAATTAATGAAGATTATCGAGTTTATCCTCTTTTTAAGCTGTGTAAAAAAATATTTTTTGAGAAAAAGATTGTGTATATTTCAAAGAAATTATGGCTATTTTAAACAAATAAACGAATAATATAAATTCCTTTTTGTTATGTAAATTGTTAAATGAATAGTGATCGCTGTATATTCAGAATTATTTTTGAATCGAATCGATCGTAACTTGAAACAAGCTTTATTCAACATTATTTATACAGATTGCTTTGTTTAAATACAATAAAATATTTTTGTTCTTATTTTGGAATTTCAAATCAATCTTCCAAAATCTTCATCCTTTAACAATTCACAAACATTTTCTTAATTCTCTATGAATAATTTTCAACGACGAACAAATTGAAAAACGTTTAAACAATAATTTGCATAACTTTTCTATCTTCTCACACATGCATCGCGCAAAAATCTTTCATTCGGTATTCAATTTCTCATCGTATTTACTCGATTAATTCTTTAACCTCCATATATGTATATATATAAACTCGTCTGTATTATAATCAATTTTTTCCGACACAAAAGACGACAGCAACAAGCAATCGATAGGCGCGGTCAACAACGTTCCATCACGGAAGAAGATGAGAAAATAATTTTCTCTCGTGAGCGGACACCAATCAAAGAGTGAGGAGAACGTTGACATAATTTTTAAAGAATATCGATAGAGGCGTCGCATCGAAGAGAACGGACGAGGAAACGAGTGATTAATGTACACGCATCCCCCTTTTCCTCCCTTTCAATAAAGATCTCTTTTATGACCGAACCCATTTCCTCTTCTAAATTATCGACTGGTTCTCGCTTTTTAAATCGAAAAACCGTTCAGCCTGGCATATCGAGCCGGCAGTTCGAATACTTTCGAATCCCTCTTCAGTGCCAACATCGAAGCTGCCTACTTCAAATTGCTATTTTCTCTTCGCGACTCAGTTTACAGATCGTCCCCCGGAACCACCGTCGAAACTTTCAACCGACACTCGGGGATGGCCCATTTTAAATTCTCGTTAACGTTTGCCGAGC